CAAGAGATATTAACATTTCGGAAAAACACCAAACGGATTTCCAGTCGCATGTAAGCCCGACCAGGGGAGAGGGGGGAGGGGGGCATGCAAAAATGACTTCGAATATCTTTGCCACATTATCCAATTTTAACAAATTGAGCATGTGCGTGATTCGAAACCCTAGGACCGCACGTGACGCACATGGCACCAACGATTTGAGAATAACTGCAGGTGGCCATTGTTTAGTTGTTATGGTCATGTGATACCACACTTGAGGATCACACGACGGCGGCATAAAAATAGTAGATCCAGGTTCTTCATTTCACCGTAATGAGAGTTTCAAAATTTGGTAGGCTTATTTCACAAGAGCCTTTACCAAGTAGTCTCAAAGCATTATGATGTCAAAAGATAAACATATTTTGATGAATTCGATTTGCGAAAAGCGACTTGTCAATTATCGTCACGCCATCTCACCGCTATTACACCGCCGCATGCCGCATGGGATTAGTTTTTCTCTTTCTATTGCTGTTGTTTTTCTGTCTTTCTCTTATTTTGTGTTTGCTTGTACTTTTTTAAACTTTGCATTTTGTAAAAAACAAAGAAAAACATCTAAACTGTAAGCGAATTTGCAAGTTATTGAGTTGTTTTTATTTTCCGCGCTCAGGCTGACGTAAGTAACCGGAAGTGAAATTTCACCTCTTTAGCAACGCGCGCGAGCGCGCGCATAAATCGGTTAATGGCCCTTAGGGGTTGTTTTCCCATTACAGACCGCGTGATACTTTCTAGAGGATTGTTCTTTTATCCATTTAAAAATTATTCATTCACATACAAGCGACTATTCGACAGTTTGAAAGCAAGAATTCTATAGGGAAATTCATTACCTGCCAAGGGAATTCCACCTTAAATTTCACGCGAAAAATTTAACGTGGAATTCCCTCGTAAGGTAACGAATTTTCCGTTAATCGCATAGCTTTCTTTTTAAATGACAGAAAACACCGTTTCATTCACGTCTGTGTGAATGTTGCAATATTCAACGCGCGTCGCTTTCAAGAGTCGCAATTCCACGCTGAATACCTTGCCTAGGTAACCAGTCAAGCTGCGAGAATTCTCTGAGCTATGCAATTCTCACGAGTATCATCACACGGTCTGAAATGGGGCAACAAACCACCAAAGCTAAAAATGTCGATTTGGCTAAAATTCGTGACGCCGTTCCTTTAACAAACAGCGGAGAGGTTTTGAGTATTTCGCTTTTTCTTCTCGGGAGCAATCGAATTTTTCTATTTTAATCCGAGGACACATGACCTATTACAATTTTCCCGTAGGCCTAAATTGAAGCGAAAGAATGACATTAGTAAGATAATACTGCTAAATGGGCCCATTTTGTTTAAGTAAACACATCTAACCTTATTTAGAGATCTTCACTCTACTTAGCATTAATGGAGGGGTTATAGCATTACATGGACCAAAGCTTCTAGAAACAGTAATGTACGGTCTTGGTCCTCCAATTTAAGTACGGTGACGGTACGTACCTGACACGACGAGTCGGCCGTTAATTATCAAACTAAAGTACAAGTTCAAAAACACGCTGAACGTGTTAGCATCTGTTCTGGTTATACTTCAACAGGCCTCTTAAAAAGCGAGTCTCGTCTTACAGTTTCTTTTGGAATCGTTACTGTACTGGAAAGTATGGCTTCTCATTTTTTGTCTGACTAAAACAGTTGCGTGACTTCTGAATCTACACTAGTAATTGTTGTCACTAAAACTGCCCCCGTTTTCTTTTTTCTTTGTGCTGATTGAAAACAATTGAACATATTGTATGGACTTTTAGTTGTATTTCCTTTTTTTTGTAAACGATATCAGTTATAATGTTCCGATAATTTACAAAAATTTCAATTAATAGAATTTAGGAAAAAAGGTTAAAAAGTTAAGGAGAAACAAAAAAATCATGTCAAACCACTCTGCTTTGCGAACTTGATGCGGAAACAAACCATTTGTCTTGTTATACGAGCAAACGTATCTCGAATACAGAACAGAAGTCGAGAAAATCATCTGGAATTTGCTGGCACGATTTTTTCCCGAGACGTAAACAGGATTATGGCGTTACAGTCAGCATGGCAACCTCCGATATATGCAAATTAGCGTCAAGTTACGTATCCTCAACGAAAACGCTCCAAACTAAGCTCCTGTCATTTATTTTTAAATTGGATTCTTGCAAAGTCACCCAGTGACCTGAGCTCTACGCCACGTAAGATTACTCAGTACAAATAAGCGGTCCGAATAAACGAGATTCACACGTAAAACTGGCGATCGGAATGGTCGCAATTGAATAACATCTGTTAATATCTCGAATACGTGCGAAGCGACTCGTATCATGTAGCTAAAATTCTCACTTTAAATTTTGAAAACTACTTTCTCAATTACTTACGATACCTTCTGAGTTGTTTTCGTCCTAAAATCCATCTTCAGGATCTCCGGAAGTGTTTTAAATTTGTCCCAGAATCCACGCCATTTCGAAGCGAAATTACTTCACCACGTTAAAATAGTCATGTAGGCCAAATTGGAGTGTCTTAGCTCAACGTACCGTGCGCGCCTAGCTCCTTCAAAACGGGATCGAGTACTACCAATATTTCATTGCATCTTTACATGCGGGAGGTGGCTGGGTAATTCCGGGGGTACTCATTTGGCCTCTGGGCAAAACCTTGCGGAGGCAATTAACAATATCAATGAAACATTTTGACAATAACGTAAGATAATTTAAAATCAAACAATAATAAAGACTTCTACGGAGACCTAATGTTTAGTGCTCAGGATTACGGAGTCATTTCCTCTTTTTTGGGGGGACACTTCACTCTCACATTGCTTCTCTCCACCCAGGTGTATAAAAGGTACCGGATAATTTAATACTTGAGGTAACCCTCCGATGGACTAGCGTCCCATCCAGGGGGAGTGAAAATATTCCTGGTTGCTTTATGATACAGGAAACCGGGATACAATCCTACGATATGGTCCACATCTCACAATGGCGGGAAGAAAAATGAATAAATAAATAAATAAATAAAGTGGAGGGAAGGATACATAGAGTCCGTCATTATTTTTGAAACCAAATAGTCAGTCATATAAGTAAAGGCCATATTGTTGTAATCAATAATTTACACACTTTGTAATTTGAAACTCTGATTTTTGTGTAATGCATTAGTCAATTCCAGCAGTACCCACCCCCCCGGGCAACCGCGGGGCATTTGCTCACGTTATCAGTCCCGGGGGTGGGGCATCCGCAATTTTATCGCGGCCCAGGGGCTGGGCATTTGCGTACCCCGGGGCGACCCCCGGGCATTCGACACACGTGTTTTGGAAAGTGCTATGGATGAGTTCATCGGGAAAGACAAGGCGTTTGTCGAACAATGGCTTGTCCGTCAGGGACTAGAGAAACGTGCAGATGTTTTCTCAATTTGAGATATTTCTTCATTCTTTGTAAGCATATAAATATAAGCGACAAGGTGAACTATATTTTGTTTATCACAAAAAAATCACTGATGTGAACACGACTATTTCGCATTTCGCATTCAAAACTAGCCTAGCATTTTTTAAATTCATG